GAGAGCTACTAGGGAATGAGTCGTGGTCTACATTGACGATATCCTCCATTTATGGGAATACCGCTGGAGGAATTACGAGGAACTACGGCGAAGGTCTTGAGGTACTGCGGAAGGCGAGCCTGTACGTGAAAGCTAGTAAGTGCGAGTTCGAAAGAGATTCGGTGGTGTTTCTGGGTTTTGTGGTATCCTCTAAAGGTGTATCGGTGAACCCAGAATACATTGATGCCATCACTTCCTTCCCACGTCCTAAGAATCTACGAGAGTCAAGGGGATTCATTGGAGTTGTAAGCTACTACAGGCGCTTTGTCCCCAACTTCTCGAAGATTGCTAGACCTATCAATGACTTGACAAGGAAGGAGGTACCATTTGTATGGGGAGTCGAACAGGAGTCAGCCTTCAAAGAGTTGAAGGCTAGGATGTGTACTGCGCCGGTGTTAGCCCATTTTGACCCTACATTGAAGACGATATTACAGACAGATGCGTCGTTCTTCGGCTGGGGGTTCATAATTTCGCAGATCAACACGGCTGGTCAAGAACACCCGGTAGCTATTGAGTCTGGTGCTTTCAACACAGCTCAACTGAATTATACGGTAGGAGAAAAGGAGTTCCTCGCTGTAGTGGAGGGTTTCAGAAGAAGGAGACACTTATTATTGCAGGTGGAAACCACAGTACTTACCGACCATCTAAACCTTACCTACTGGATGGAACCGAAACAACTCAGTCCTCGGCAAGGTAGGTGGGTAGAGGAGCTAGCTAACTTCAGGTTTAAAATGGTTTATCGGCCAGGAACCCAGGCAAGTCTTCCAGATGGATTATCTAGACGGGCGGACTATCATTCCGGGAAAGGAAGTACCATGGTACAAGAGAGCAACCTTATCCAAGGTCTGCCGAAGTTCGACGAAGTTGACGCCACCACGTCGGAGTTGCGTCACCTCCTTCGAGCATTGCAAGGGACAAGGGAGGTAAAGGAAAATGATCTTGTGGACCCTATGGATCTAGTACTTGGAGTTCAGGAGGACGAAGACATAGAAGGGGTCAGAGAAGAATTATTAGGAGTCGTTTGCGCTGAGTGTTCTCATCCTACGTGTAACGATAACGTGCAGGAACCAGGATCAATCACCGAACTACGCCGTAGTTCGCGGTCTCCTCTAATCCTTCGTGGGGGGTGGAACTCAAGAGGTTTCCTCACATTCGACGATCGCATTTATGTGCCGAACTACGCCGATGCTCGGCTGAAGATCATGAAAATGCGACATGACTCGGCCTTAGCTGGTCACCCAGGTTCAGCGAAGACCCTTGAGCTAGTTCTAAGGGACTATGTCTGGATTGGAGTAAGGAAGGATGTTGAGGACTACATCGCTGGATGCGCGGTATGTCAGAGGGCAAAGACTAACAGACAGAAACCCCATGGAGAGCTTAAACCACTGGAGGTAGCTACGAAACCTTGGTCTAGCATCTCGATGGATTTTATCGAGGAGCTGCCAAATTCCCATGGATATAACTCCATCCTGGTAGTGGTGGATCGGTTGACCAAATGGGCCATTTTTATCCCGACTACGACGAAGTTAACCGCAGCCGGCCTATCAGAGTTGATATTGGACTATGTGGTGGCCCAGCATGGGTTGCCAGAGAATATAGTATCGGACAGGGGATCGAAGTTTACCTCCAAGTTCTGGAAGAATTTGACCGATAGTCTCGGAATAAGACTACATCTCTCTACTGCATATCATCCACAGACTGACGGACAGACCGAACGAACCAACCAGTCTTTGGAACTGTATCTTCGAATCTTCACCTCCTATCAGCAGAACGACTGGTCAAAGCTACTCGCTCGAGCTAGCTTTGCTTACAACAACACCCAGCACTCTGCGATAAACAAAACCCCATTCTATGCGAACTATGGATATCACCCTCGTTGGGCTGAAGAGATAAAGGCTAGCGAGGTCGAAGTGCCCGCTGCTACGGTGGTGGTAAAAGACTTGACTGAAATACACAAAGATTGTATCGAAGGAATTGAGAAAGCTAATGAGAAGTACGCCGAAGGATACAATAGGAAACACCGGACTACGCCGAACTTCGCGGAAGGAGACCTAGTGATGCTGTCGTTAGAGAATATTAAGACGAAGAGACCAATGAAGAAGTTAGATGTTAAGCAAAGTGGGCCGTACAAGGTAGTACGGCAGGTAGGTTCTCATGCTTGTAAATTGGAATTACCAGGAACGATGGCTGGTATCCATGATGTATTCCATGTCTCCTTGCTCCGTCCTTATCACCCTCCAATATTTCCTGGTCAGCAAGCTGAGCCACCTGGGCCAGTAGAAGTAGACAATGTGGGAGAGTCTTGGGAGGTAAAGGATATTGTGGACTCTAGAGTAAATAAGAGGTCAGGAAAGTTAGAGTACTTGGTGGAGTGGTTAGGTTACGAAGGAACAGACGATTCAGTATCATGGGAACCAGTGGAGAACGTCGATGGAGCTGATGACATATTGGCGAAGTTCCACGAACTTCACCCTACTAAGCCGAAAGAAGGGCGACTGCGAAGGACTAGGAGATAGAACGTACTGCATACAACATAGGATTACAGCTACGTACCGCTCACTTGTCCTTACTCTTACCCTTACCTTTTCCTTTTCCTTTCTCCTTCGATCTACTCGGTCCCGCGGGATTAGTGTGGAGGCTACCGATGACCGAAGGTAGATCGAGAGTCTCAGACGGGAACGCAGTAGAGAGAGAAGCATTCCATGCCCGATTCATAGCCCCAAAGAAGTCACCGAAGTCCTGGACATCTCGAGCAGCTTGCATGCTCGGAGTCCTCCACAGAGAACGTATGGTCCGTAGACACTCGAAGGGAAGACTGAGGAGGTCTAGAGCAGTCTGGGCGGAAGCTGGGACACGGGAACTACTACGGCGACCTAACCAGTCAAGGGACGGTGGTGGCTCATACGCCATAGGAGTGACTAGGAAGGGGGTGTCGAACAGTCTTCGGCGAACATCGGCTATCTCAGTAAGGCTTCGGCGAGAGACGTCCGCTAACCTTGTCCTTGCTTCGTCGTCCAGAGCCCCAGTGTTGACTACATCTACTAACGCCGCAGTAAGATTGTTTAAAGCGTTAGCTTGACGAGAAGAGAAGTCAAGCAGGAGAGATGTATCATTTCGGGCAGCCTCAAGCTGAGTAGTGAGACCGAGGACGAGAGAACGATAAGTGGCGAATTCCTTTTCGTCCTCAGGAATACGGACGTCCAGGGAGATACGAGGGTGGACGAGGGACAACCGGGGAGCAGAGGGACCAGCACGCTGAGTATCTTCACCTTCCACATCACCATCATTGAAGGCAACCTCCTTCTCTTTAGATTTCCCTTTTGATTTCTTTAAAGAAGACTTCGGTGTCTTCTGGGGAGCAGAGGGAGGGGTGACGGGAGGGGCCGCCGAAGTGGCCGGAGGAACAGAAGGACGCCGACTTCGGGTGCTGTGAGCCGGGGGAGAAGCTACCACTGGAGAGGACGGACGTGGCGCCGAAGGACGAGAGGCCGAAGAACGAGAGGCCGAAGGACGGGAGACCGAAGGAGCAGAGGCCGAAGGACGGCGAGAAGACGAAGGAGGAACAGCCGAGAGACGTGATGGGCCGGCCACAGGAGCGAAGGGCGACGGCGACGGAGGCGACGGGCGGAGGTCCGGCGAAGTACGGCGAACCGACCGGAGAGACGAAGGAGGTACCCGCGAGCGGGGGACAGACGCTGGAGTCTGAGGAGGGGGGAAGGGAGAAGCGTCGAAGGGACGGGGCGGGATGTCCCGGGCAGAGGAAACGGGACAGAAGGAGCAGGGGCCAGACGTGCATGAAGCACAACGGAGGGCCTTGTTGTGTGGCCTGACTGCCTTGAGGCAGGGCCAGTTTGGACGATTATACGTGATAATCTCACGTCTACTAATTAGCAGGAGTAACTTCGGCGTAGTACGAATAGGTGGACTCACCGGCAACGATCACACGCTTCGTCAACACCAAGCGCGATCCAACGACCAGGCTCGGACTTCATCTTCTCCCACAAGTACTCTTCTTCCCGCAGTGATCTCTTCACCCGTTTGGGCGAAGGCTCCCCTCTGGGAGAAGGGGGGGGAGCAGCGACGGGGGCGGCGGGAGCAGGACCGGCGGCGGGAGCAGGACCGGCGGCGGCAGCAGGAGCGATGGCGGCGGCAGGGCGGGCGGCGGCAGCAGCGGCAGCAGCGGCGGCAGCGGCGATGGCGTTGGGGGGGGGGAGAACCCCGGAAGAGGAAGAAGAAGAGGAAGAAGAAGAAGAGGAAGAAGAAGAAGAGGAGAGGGAACGGCGTCGTTTCTGGCCCACAATTTGAGCAGGGGGAGGGGCAGGAGCGGCTGCGAGTTAGCAATGTCTTGGAGAGCTAAAGAACAGATAAACAAGGCCAAGTTCGGCGAAGGTGTGAGAGGTTGGACGAAGAACTCACGCTCAGGACTATCTACGTTGTTGTCCTCTACACTAACCGCCACCATATCATCATCCGAGTGTTCCTCTAACTCGGTTTCACCCTCCGACACGATTCTATCATCCTCATCACTATAATCACCCCCTTTTCCTTCGAAGTCTGACTGATCGTCCGACTCCGAACCACTGAGCGACTCCTGGTCGGAGGAGGACGGAGACTCACCAGGACGAAAGGCGGGCGTCCTGCGGCGAGGGCTGGCGGCAGGAGGGGAAGCAGAGCGAGAACCAGGAGGAGGAGAAGCAGAGGGAGAACCAGCGGGAGGACCGGCGGGAGGAGAAGCGGAGCGAGGAGGCGGGACATCGCCAGACGGCTCCCCCAAAGAAAGGGTGCCGAGGCCGAGGGAGGAGACTTGGCGAGATCTGTCGCCGAAGGAAACTGAACATCAGCCAAGTCCGGCGAAGTAAGGTAAGTGTCGAGGAATAACTCACGAGCAGACGACACCATACCACCAAAGTTCCTCATGGCGGCGAAAGGGTTAGATGTAGGAGTAGAAGGGGCCATGACGTTAAGATATTTAAATGAGAATAAAACTCGAGGCGATGATTCAAGGTAACAAATCTGTTTTCTAGGTAAGAGAGATAGAAAGTTTTGAAAGCAGATGGGAAAAAGAGAGAAGGTCGACGAACTGCTCAGTATTTAGTATAATCAAACCTAACCCCTCGTCGTCAACATGCAGCAAACTTCGCGTTTCATCAACAAAAGGCAGCGCAGGGACGATCAAAATTCCCACGCTATAGTGTCTCATCTCAATATAAGCGAGGGTTACTTCGACAAACAACGGTGTTGTTCGGCTGCCATTCAGGAAGCGTGTCTCACCTACAAAAGACACAGGGCTTCTTACGGCAAACCTCGACGAAGTTAGGGGAGTCTCATTGTCGGGTTCTGGAGTGAAAGGAGGCCCAACTACGAAGTGCGGCGCAAAGAGCAGAAGAGTGGAGGATGGTCATGGGGAGGGAGAGAATGGGGTACTACGCTGCTAAGTTCTCTTGCCACGACAGAGGTGTAATCGCTCACGAGGACGTTCGCGGCTAAAGAAGGGGGCGACTGTCACGAACTACGTCGTGACACCTCGATTACTCCACCAACAATGACCCTCCTTTGGCCATCAAAACCCCATCACGCCTTAACCTCTTTACTCTACACGTAACTCAGGACTTCTGACACCAAGTACGGCGAAGTTAGACGGGGTTAGGCTAAGTAGGGACAATGGGAGCAGAAGTACGGCGATGTTAGGCGGGGTTAGGCTAAGTAGGGACAATGGGAGCAGAAGTGCGGCGATGTTAGGCGGAGTTAGGCTAAGTAGGGACAATGGGAGCAGAAGTGCGGCGATGTTAGGCGGAGTTAGGCTAAGTAGGGACAATGGGAGCAGAAGTGCGGCGATGTTAGGCGGAGTTAGTCGAAGGAGGAAGAGGATGGCCGAGGGCTCGGGGAAGTTGGACGAAGTGCGTTGAAGTACGTCAAAGCGCGAGAGGGTTGGATGAACGTCTAGGAGGAGTGGATAATATTAGCTGAGAAGATCGCTGAAGTTCTTCAGCGATCCTTGATTGTTGTCAGTAGTAAAAGACAGATAGAGATAGCTATAAATCAAGATACATCGCCATCAGTAGATCAAAACCCTAGTTAGAGTAACTACGCCGAAGTACGCCGTAGTTACACCCCTTTCGACGTCTGCGCCCTCCTGGTTGGGTGAGACATCGACTCAGAGCGTGAAGTTAGCCGAGGTTCGTCGACCGTCGGTCTATTAAGAAGTAGTTGTTCGACGGCCGTGACATTATCTTTCAGGGAATGAATGTGGGAGAGGACTGGATGTCGGAACTATCAGAGGAAGAAAAGTATTGGGTCACAGTGTCAGAAAAGGGATGGACTTCGCAAGAAATAGGACTTAGATGGCTGGAGGATGTTTTTCATCCAGAAACACAAGCCAGGCCGGGTCAAAGACGACGACTACTCATCTTAGATGGACATTCAAGCCATGTCAACTATGACTTTATCACCCGATGTGATTCCCTTCGGATTGACCTCCTCATTCTTCCACCACATTCGACTCACTGTCTTCAACCTCTTGACATTGGTCTCTTCTCACCTCTTTCCACCCACTATACAACCATCATTACCGAACGCTTCCAGATTGCTGAGGGTCGACTCTTCATGAACAAACCACGCTTCTTCAGTAGTTTCATTGAAGCATGGAAAAAGACCATTCATGATGGGATCAATATCAAGAAAGCATATCAGAAAGCTGGAATTGCTCCGAGAGACCGGCAAGTGGTCATGAATCGAGTCTTTACCTTACCAGCACCCCTCCAATTACCTACTACGCCTGTCACCCCATGTCCTAATCATGTTCTAGAACCTCCAAGCTCGCCATTGGGTCCTGGTGGTTCTCAACGGCTTGTCAAGAGGGTACGCAGTAATCAGAAGAATCCAACACATGCGGTATGCAAGATGAACAAGAGGATCGTCTCTCTTGAAGCAGAGAATGCTCTCCTCAAGAAAAGCAACTCAGATCTTCGAGGTAGCCTACAAATGGCCAATAAAAAGCGAGCTTTCAAGCCAATTGTACCCGGACACCAAGCAAAACATGCAAAATGGATAGGATCCGAGGAGGTGCGTGCAGCTAAGGAGGCAAGAGAGGCTGAAGCAGCCCGGGAAGAAGCAGAAAAGCAGGACAAGCAGGCTAGGAAGGAAGCCAGAGCACTGGCCAAAGCTGATAAGGAAGCTGAGCAAGCTAGGAAGAGGGCTGAGAGAGAAGAGAAGAGACGGGGACAGGAGAGGGTGGAAGGGATGACAATCCATCAACTTGAAGATCTGGCCCGGATGGCTGTATCTCAGGCTACTTCCATTGCAGGGCCTTCTAACCTGGGATAACAGTAGGTCTAATACCTATGTATGATGTGGCCACCAGCAAAAATCGTAAGTCATATGCATAGAGTGTGGAAGTGAGCTCAAATCAGATTACCCCTATGTGGAGGAAGGGATTCCCTTTCTCATCTCAGATCTCAGCTCTCATCACATCGTTCAATGCATGCATCATGTCATATGATCTCTGGACCACTAGGAGCAGAATGGATGTTGTGGGCAAAGAAGCAAAATTCAGATGCTTGTGGTAGAGCTTGTAGAAGTTGCAGGTACAAAGGATGTATAAGGTGGTCAAAATGAGATAACCGGCCGAGGTGTACACGTACCCTTAGCGCGCTGATAGCCGATGAAGCCACCTTATCATAAGTAACCTTAAGGTACCTGTACTTCATCCCCCCCTTTTTTTTTCTTATCGACTCATGATCGCGTCTTTTGCCCGGGTGTTTCAAAAATGTCACTTCGCATCATTCCTCGGTTCGTTCGACCTTGCTTCTTTTGTACCTCGAACTTCTCTTCTCCCTCTTATCCACCTTCAAACCTCGCCACATTGTCTTTCTTTCGATCTACGGGAAGAAGACAGAGAACACACACCAAAATGACCGTTCCCCGTCAAGCAGACGTCACGGCCGGAGTGAGCGGTCAGGCAAATGTCGACATGCTCACCAGCGTGTCTCGTAACTTTATCAGTGAGTCGAACCGATGCGAAGGGTGGTAGAAGTAGTAGTCATGTTAATGTACAGGTGATACTTGTACGATCCCCACAGATGGACAAATGCTAGCTGCTCTTGGAGCTACCAGGGGAGATGACGTTTATCAAGAGGATGAATCGACACAAGCTTTAGAAGCTAGAATAGCTAAGCTTGCAGGGAAAGAAGCAGCTTTATTCGCGATGAGTGGTACAATGACTAATCGTGAGTTCTAACCCTACAACTTTATCAACTTTATGTTACTCAGTCTGAAGATGCTTTAGGTGTGAACATGTGGCTGATTGAAAGAATTATCCATACGAGCTCATCTCACATCACCACCTCATTCCGTTATCACAGATTATCGTGCTCATGTGCATAAAATGGAGGTGAGTCAAGTCTCCATCTTTTCCATCCATCCACTCCACAACTTCTCTACATCATATGAGAACAACAAGTAGATCCGTCAGACACGCGCTGATCTCAGGCGGGTGGAATCGCAATGTTCTGTCAAGCTACCACAGATACCGTCGTACCTTCCAATGGCATACACATAACAGCTGAAGATATCGAACCCCACCTTCAACTCGGGAATAACATTCATTATCGACCCACCAAGTTGTTATGTTTAGAAAATACCTTGAGCGGGATGATCTTCCCTCAAGACGAGGTGATTAAGATTAGTCAGTTGGCAAAGAAACATGGGTTGAAGTTACATTTAGACGGAGCGAGAATATGGAACGTGGCTGCTGTGGAGTTGGAATCCAGAGGACTTGATGCGAGGAAAGAGGAGGATTTGCAAGTTGTGTAAGTCCAACTTCTAACCCGTCTTCTTCCAAGCTCCTACCCTCTGTTTCCTCTTGTGTCCGCAAGAAATCTTCTTGATTGTAGCATGTCACTCATTGATCGTTATGATGCCAAAGATACAAATTCTCTTCACTCATGGTACATAAAGAAGCACGACAAACACATCAGTCAACTAACAGCGCAAGCTCATATACAGACTTACCGACTTACTCAACCCATTCGACTCCGCTTCTTTATGTCTGAGCAAAGGTATAGGTGCACCGATCGGATCCGCCATTGTGGGAAGTCAAGAATTCATCGAAAGAGCTAGATGGTTTCGTAAAGCTTTTGGTGGTGGGGTACGTCAAACTGGACCTATGGCAGCAGCTGCGGATCATGCTCTCACTTATCATTTCCCAAGATTATCTACGACTCATGCTTTAGCTCGGAAATTAGCAGAAGGTTTGAAGGGTTTGGGAATCACAATCGTCGCTCCTGTTGATACCAACATGGTGAGTTTGGTTGTTCTCATTTTACTTCTTCTCAATCTCATCTCTCCCTCTCCCTCGCCTTTCTTTCTCCCTTCTTCTCTTCCTTCTTTTCTTTCTCTCTCCTGTCTCCACCCTCGTTCTCTGAAATCCTCCTGTCTCCACTCTCGTTCTCTGAAATCCTCCTGTCTCTTATGACAAACTCATGTCACTCATGATTTCCAAATTGGTGATCATCGTCTCACTACCACTCACCACCTCTTAGGGATACAAGGCAGGAAGAAAATCAACGAATATCTAATCATCCAGGTCTTCTTCGACCCCACTTCCATCGGACTCAATATGACCGACATTATAAACCGTCTCGAATCACTACCTCAACCCATAAGGATCAGAGGCGAGAGATGCGTCATTCATCATCAAACATCACCACAAGCGGTGGAAGAATTTATCGATACTGTCGCACGGATGAAATCGGAGTCATCAGTTGAAGTAGTTGTACAGAATGTTAATTTATCTAGGAAAGTGGGTGAGAAACAAGTTAAGAAAGATTATCGATTGCCTTATTAGATGTATCATTGTTTGGAGAGAAGGTTGGAGATCTAATTTCATATGTCATATTGTTGCTGTATCACACGCTTTACGTTTTTGACGGATATTCCTAGTTTGTTCATTGAGGATAGCAGTTTCAAAACAATATACAGGCCTTCAAAAAGTCTCTGGGACTGGTTCTTATTGGGATGGAAAAAGAAGTGATTGCACTTCAGATACATTCCAATGATGAGATAAAGATAATTCACATCCCTTCGTTTTAAATATCGTCCATTGAGGGATTTCACAACACCATCACAATTACCCTTGACATTTCCTAGCATCACCATTTTCTGCCTTTTCACCATACTCTGAACCCAAATGAGTGTTGGACATATTAACACTGTGACACTATGACATTGATCCACTTGACCATTTCATCTCCTTCAATGACCATGTCAAAGTCTATAATATCCCAACGGATCCATCTTGACCATACTCTCTCCATCTGACAACATATCAGAACTTTGACCTTCAACACCTGGTATAGTAGCAGAAGCACTATCATCCGAATTCCTATCAATCCCCATTTCATCCTTACCGCCTTCCATAGTCATCCTCTTTTCACCCAACCAAGAACGACCGTTCTTCTCAAACATGACAATTTCATCATTGAAATTATTACTTGCTTGCGATCCGAGAGGAAAAGTCATATCATCTGATATGGTAGATTTTGCTTGATCGGATGATTGGAATCTTGTCAAATTATCAGTTTTAACAGCTTTGACTCTGATAGGTAATTCCACTTCCATCCGTGTAGATTGAACATGTCCCATATGATTCCTTTCAACGTTGACTGACGGGATATGATTAAAGTGATTGAGTGATGACGATGAAGGTTTTTTGATAGATCGTTCCCCTGAGACTGACGATAAACGTGCTCTTTTCAAAGGTCTGTTTTCTGGTGATTTATCCGAATATGACGAATCCGAATATGATTCTGAATCATCTTCTTCAGATGATCCTCTGACCATTTTAGATTTTTGATGTCCGATTTCAACTTGAAGAGTCTTTGACGAAGACGCTTTACTAGGTCCATCGGATGATGCGAGACTAGAACGTGCATTCAGTCGAGCAGATGCTAATTGACGTTTACCCGTACCTATTGGTCTACCTCTACTTCTTTTTGTCCCCAAGACTTTTGGTGGTGCCCATAACCCTGGTCGTGCTGTAGTGGGTATGAAAATCTTTTGTTTTTCTTTAGACCCGGAGTTTAATGTCGGTAAGGGGTTCATACTTGATTTAGAAGAAGAGGTAAGGGGAGGAATAGGACGATTATTGGGTGAAGGAGTTGGTCCATACTCTTCATCTTCTGATGATTGTTCATCTATATCGGATGAAGGGTTTTTGAGAGATAGACGCTTGGCTTTTTTGCGAGGTCGGACTTCTTTCGTTGATATCAAGTTCACCATCTCATTGGAAACATGTCGAGGTGGTGATTGTTGGATTTGTAAAACCTCCTGAGTCACCACATTGGTCATCGTCACACTCGAAGTCGAAGCTTCCATCGGGGCAGGAGAAGAGTTTGTATTGACCCTTGTATTCAACCTTTCTTGAGCTTCCAGAGCTTCGACAGCTTCTCGTTCCGTTGGTCTATAAATCTTTCCTCTTCTCGTTCCTGTGGTCAAAGCATTTCTCTCTTCCATCTTCTTCCGCATTTCATCCTCTGAAACATACTCGTAGCTGTTCCATATACCCGATCCTCGTACTTTATTCTTCTCTCGATTCCGTTTCGCTTCTTCTTTCGCCAACCTGGCCGCTTCCTTAGCTTCCGCTTGCGCTTTAGCGTTGGCTTCTCTTGTCTCTTGAGCCACCCAATTCGCCATACGTTGTTGTTCCAACATGTCATCGTCTTCTGCCCATTTACGATAGAATCGATCTGCCAAACGTTCTTCCTTGGTAAGATCCGGACCCAGAGGTTCTTCGAAAAGAGGGATTTCAGATTCAGGTTCGAGATCTTTCTTCTTTGGTCTTTCAAGAGATGGTAAGGGTACGGAAGAAATACGTCGTGGTATGTGACCGTGAGGGATGAGGTGAGCGGGAGGGTAATCTTGTATGTCCGCAGGTTTATGAGCGGGCCATGGAAGTCCGAATATCAACGCGTGACGAACGCATCTGAAAACAAAGTCAACTACAGAGATTTACATCTGTGAGGAAGAATTCAACTCACCTGGAACAATGATCAAAATATTGTTTGTTATACCACACCCTCTCGTCCAAAGGTTTGCAACATGTCACACATCGTGGGAAATCATCCGGATATTCAGACATCGCACGAGCCGTCGGTTGGACTTCCGGCGTTACAGGTCGGGGTCTCCTTGGGGGTCTCGCAAAGAAGCCAGGTAACATCTTACTGACTGCTGCTCGGATCGATGGACGTCTCCGAACTTCGCCAGGTGATTTACGACCTTCAGAAGGGGTGCATTCCCCTTCCACAGATAGTCGGGGAGTGTGGTTTATGGGTGTTGATTGCGCCTTTGACGTTGTGCCATCTTCAGGATAGGTCATAGACGCTTCTACGGATTTCGAAGAGATGGAAGAAATGTTATCTGCTAGAGCGAGAGCGAGAAGATCATCTTCACTTTCGGCATCACGACCGAAGATAACCGATTCGGAGACTTGTTCTGAATCACAACGACTGGTTACACGTTTGCTGAGATTCGATGATCTCTGACTGGAAGGACCTGCCGAGTCTACACGTTCACGAGTGACTGAACGGGAAAGAGAACTTTCCTTTATGGTAAAGCCGCCTTTGCCAGCGATCTCGCAAGTCAAGCAAAGACTATCAGATGTTAATTTGGAAGACGACATGAGCCAACTGATGAAGAACCCACCATTCTCTGTTATTCTTGCCAAAATAGTCATCTCCGCTAATGATGTCAGTGAGACCCTTCAAAGGAGAGGGAAATGGACTCGCTAAAAGGTGGTGAGCTCATCTCCTATTTGTACAGGTTGAATAGTTCGGAATGTTACATGATGACCTTGTCGTAGTAATTCCACATTCGGAGAACAGTCATGCTATTATGTTCAGCGACGATAATCTTGATTGACAATTTGTAGTCGCTGAAGAGATTGGCTGGCACGTACATTTATAAATCGCGCAGGGCCCAAAAACAGTTGAAAACAATTCTTCAACCCAGACCAAACAATGCTGAAATCTCTACGACGAGTCCTATCAGATCTTCTTTGACGACGGGGAATTTCATTTTGCATCTTGGCCTTTCCTTGAAACTTTCGTGACGCTTCCCGTTCTTGAGAATCTGCTTCGTCGTCTGAACCCGCCTCTTCTTCTGCAGCGGCACGTAAAGCGAATTCGTCTCCCAGATCAAGCTCTTGTCGCCATTCGTCTGGTAAAGGAACGACGGAACCTTGTAATTCTGAAACGACTGTTCCCACGGCCAGAGGTCGGGTAGCGAATACGGCCAATTCGGTATGACCAGTGACGGCAGAGTATCTTGATGTGGTATGGATATCTATACGTGAATTTGGCTGAAGAGGGAGTAAGTAACGTCGGAGATGTCTACTGTCAGAACATGCTTTGTACATTATGACTCACTGAACGAATCGTTCTCTTTGCGAATCCGTTTCTTTCGCTTCGAGATGATTTCGGATTAAGTGAAATCTTAAAGTCAGTCGTTAAGTCGTCTTCCTGGTCTTCATGACTGGTATGCTGTTCGTAGACTCACTCTTGTAAACGAGACATGGCTGCTGAAGTGTTACCCGACACTACCGTCTATCATGTCAGCCTTGGAAGAGATCCAACGTTGGCGCCACAACGACTCACCTCTTTGATGATACTCATGACTTCCTCCGTCTTGAACGGTAGTCCAACGAATTTTACCTGTTGAGGATGTACTCCAAGTTTGGTATTTGGTAAACAGCCCAGTTGATCGACAAGCACCCAGGAAAGTAGATCGTCATCCTCGCTGAGATCCTCTGCGGGATGAGGTAGAGGCCGAGGTGTTTCGACCTGCACACGACGGGACATGTTGGTCTGAAGACTGTCTATCCTTTGTTATTGGGTACCTTACTTATGGCACGCGTCAGAGAAAGAGTGGGAAACGGATAGGAAGGGTTAATTGACAGGGAGAGTGACAACGTTTTGACGGTTGTGAGGTGAGGTTGAGGGGTGGGAGGGGTAAAGGGGGGAATGAGGGAATGGGAGGGTATGTATGGGCCGGTATTACTTAGGATGGTTGTAGGATGTGACGAAAGTGAGTGAACGCGATACGGTGGCCGGGAAGTCTCAGGTTACCTTCGCTCACCCACCGATCACTGATCTCTATCCATCCATCCCCTTCATCCACCAATACACTGTACACTGACGTACTGCAACACACCTTCTTTCATTGAATGGTGATCAGTGTGCATACTTTCATGACCTACAAAGCCTATTCCATATCTTCGAATACCACTTGATGAAAATGACGATACTCAGCCATGCGAGCTTGAGTGTTCTTGTCTGTCCAACAAGTAAAAACCACCTGCCGCCTGGGTGTTACCTCTACACTTCTTTCACCCCCTATGTCTCCTCCATTACTTGCTGCCCCGACCGTTGAGGTTCCAACTGCTACACTTCCCCCACTCCCTGCACTTTCTGCGCTCTCTGTTGTTCCAACCACTGAGGTTCCAGCTGCTACGCTTCCCCTGCTCCCCACGCTTTCCCCCCCTTTACTCCCTTCGCTCCCTACGCTTCCCCTGCTCCCTACGCTTCCCCCTCTCCCTACGTTTCCCCTGCTCCCTACGCTTTTCCCCCCTTTGCTCCCTACGCTTTTTCCCCCTTCGCTCCCTACGCTTCCCCTGCTCCCTACGCTTTTTCCCCCTTTGCTCCCTACGCTTTTCCCCCCTTTGCTCCCTACGCTTCCCCTGCTCCCTAAGCTTTCCCTCCCTTCGCTCATTACGCTTTCCCCCCCTTCGCTCCCTACGCTTTCCCCCCCTTCGCTCCCTACGCTTTTTCCCCCTTCGCTCCCTACGCTTTTCCCCCCTTCGCTCCCTACGCTTTTTCCCCCTTCACTCCCTACGCTTTTCCCCCCTTCGCTCCCTACGCTTTTCCCCCCTTCGCTTCCCCCGCTCCCTACGCTTCCTTCGCTCCCTGTCGTTCCAACCGCTAACATCCCGACTGACGCTGAGGTATCGAGCGGTACTGGTTCCAATTTATGAAGATAACGGTGTGCCAAGAAGCCGACAACATCCCCTGGGTGTATGAGGATGGTACATCCGAGTTCGGGTAGGTGAAGCAGTGCAGGAGATGTGAGGACTGATATGATTGTATAGTGGTTGCCTAATTCTTAGTCATGACCATTATTGAAGATATCTGCGGACTGGGCTCACCATAGTCCTTAGCATCTACATGCCATTCCGTTCCCTCTCCCCATGATACTGCCAGCATCATACCCATCCCCCCAAGTCTGACTGCTGTTGCTTGAGAGTGAGTACTGTCAAGACTTTCAGCTGTTTTCCGGAAACTAGATGGAGTCGGAGTTGAAGTTGTCTTGAACTTCTCCTTCAAGTCCTTCAAATAATTGTGAACACGCCAGTGATTATGAGCCATTGAAATTGCGACCTTCTTATCAAGACGATGAAGCATTGTTCTTGGCTTGTCACCAAAGATTCCATCAAACGCTTTCAGGAGTTCAAGTACCTCGCTCTGAGATCCCTTCTGTCGAGAGTCGGCCGAGACGACACTGTGTTTGGCATACCTACACCACACACCAAACCACCACTGATGGAATCCGGCACCTCTAGAAGCTATTGTGTGTGATCTAAGGCCAACATCCCATACCTTTCCTACCAATGTGTAGAGAGTTTCTTGCTGATCTTTTGAGATCACACCACGCAGTCGGAATGCCGCATAGCAGGGTAGCGAGCTAGACAAGGTCTGAGATTGATACTCTGGGTTTGGGATGAGGAGATGACTTGAACGTGATAAAATGGATCGCTTTTGGTAGAATAGAGAGATAAAAAGATCAACAGAAAGCCCAACAGGAGAGAGAATGGAGGGATAATGAAGAGTGTGCCGGAATTGAGTTGGGGGTGGGAAGGGGAGAAGACCATCCTCCAGTCGATTCTGGTGCTGACGATAAGCTTTGTTACGGTTTCTAGTCATATTGAGGTATACCAACGAGGAGCGCAATGAAGAGGTGAAGTCAACAGTGTCTCTGTCTCAGGGTTGCCGGTCAAATATTTGTAAGCTGTGTAAGACATCAAATTTTTTAGTACGACTTTTTGGGGAACAGCGCAAGCAGGGTTATTATATCCAAGGCCCCTGACATTTTGGCACTTCGAATGTGGCACTTCAAGTGTGGCACTTTGCCAATTTGAACCTAACATCAGTCCCGTCAGTGTTCCCGTCAGTGTTCCCTGTTCCCTGTTGTCCCTGTTATCGTGCAATTTATGCAATGAATTCCAAATTCAAGCACATGCATTCATTGCTTTTTCGATTGAGAGGTTCACTGCCAGCTTTTTGTCTGTCTAGCATCAGCAGGCTATCGTGCAAGTAAATACGGGACATACCATAACACGGGACAGACTTCAGATGCCCGACTCATCTCCCACAAGTTCATCATCCACCTCTGCACCTTCACCTGGCTCTTGCACCATATTGCTTGACTCATTTTCCGTACCTTGTGATGTCTATATACTATCAGTCACTGATAACACTTGAAGTGGAACACTCACCGCATTGTTAGTACTTGCAGAGCTCTGGGCCTTGACTTTTGCTTCATGATCCTTCTCCGCTTGTTGGAACCACCATGGCATAGCACGTCGAGGGACAAATTTCAGAGGTCGAGGAAAGGATTTTTGATGGCCTTTTGCTGTCACCAATCCAAGCTGTTTGCAGGCGTCCCCGCACACATGTGCATTCATGAAGCTGTTGAGCATCCCAGCACCTCCATCTCCCATGCTTGAATCACCCCTAGCACTTCCAATTAGTTACAATTGACTGTAGGCAGGTGTGCTCACGTATGAGTGACCAGATCAAACAGATGAAATTGTCCACAATCTACAGATCCATGTCTCTGTTTCTGGGACGCAGCCGCAGGTGGTGTAAGGAACCCTAGCCGCCATCAGCATTCTGGTTTCAAATAATAAAATCCTCACCTTGAATATCAGCAATGACTACCATTGCTGCCTCTCGTGCCTCCACGGTCTTGGCACCATAGACAGATCGATGGAAGACAAAATGTGTGAAGGCATGCATGAAGCGATACAACCTTTGATGCTCGAGTTTGATTTCGTCTTCATCTGGAGGAATGAACTCATCAGTGTTGTTGATCTTGATATAGCTTCCCGCACGACGAAGATCAGGCTCCACCATGAAAGTTTCTCCACTGTTTTCTCCAGAGATCAGCTTGATGAAGAAGCATGGTGTGTATATGAGCGTTGGTAGGTCCAATTCTTGATAGGTCTCTTGGAGGAGTTCATTAAATGCCTCAAGGTATGAGGCCAAGAGGATGGCCTTCTTGCATTCCATTTCAAGGAGTTTTTGATTGATTGATTTCGACATCATTGCAAGTGACCATACTTTCTTATCAAATCGGAAGTGCTTCTTAGCCACAAGGTCAATATCATTATGTCGGAACTGCACATCATCAGTCACTCTCCTAAGGTCAAACAATGTCACCAACCTCAAATGCCTGTTTGTGACTGCCATAATCAAAGGGCTTGTTGGCAAGTAATCCAGTCTCAGGAGCACTCTGAACCGCAAACAAAGTTCCATCATCCCTATGTTGGAAGACAGTCTTGATGTACTGTATAGACTCGAAGATAGAGCCATGTGACTGGGAGATAGAATTGGCCATACGGCCTGGGGTCATCAACTACTTGCCATGATCAATGAACAACTCACTTAGGGTACCATTATTCTGTAATGCTGCTGTTGACACTCGGAACCCGGCAAACAGATTACTGATTGGTGCCAAATTTTGTCCGGTAGCTATGGTCTTGGTTCTTCCTGTTGTCATTGAGATACTCGAATGGTTGCTGGTATTGGTCAAGGATCTGACATAAGGGGCAGAAGCTGCACGCCGAGAAAGACGAGAAGCAGATGTGACTGATTGGTGTGAACTATGAGATAGGTGTTCATGGACCGCTTGTTGTGTGGGCTCTGGAACTTTGTATGTGTTCTGCAAGGTTAATGCTCTGTAACTCCACTTTTGAAACACAAGATTAAAACTTACTTTCTCATCTATGGTCAAAAGCAAGAATATTCGAATAAAACCAGTCTGCTCTGTATCCTTCTTCACAAGGTAAAGTCGATTTACCTTGCAATATGTTGTGTAAAATTCATGCAAGCTGAGGGGAAGCAAATCCTCGGGAAGAGTAATTGGCTCATTCTTTTGATTGGGTAGTGCTGGACGGGGATTGCATCTGTCGGTCAATGCACACACCCATGACTCTTGAGCAGCACTCACTGATCATAAGTAAGTCCGGTCTCCTCTTCCCCTTTTCCCTGTTCCCACATTGCTTGGCCTAGTTCCAGTGCCTTCCCCAAATTTACTTTGAGGGTCTCTTTCCAATTGCCCACAAATAGGGAATCAAAGACGGCTGGATTCCATTCTTGTGCTTTCCCGTCGTGGACTGTATGTCATTGAAGTCTACAAGGGAAGGATACCATAGGAGTACCCACTTATCAGAATTCGTACTTGCATGGCTGGACCCTTCGAGTTCAAGCCTGCTTTCAAAGCTGTTTTTCTTTGAGCACGCTCATCAAGTACCCACGTACCAGATGCCATCCCTTGCTGAGGCATGGGAACACTCTGCCTGAAAGCAGCTCCCTGTAGTCCAGCATGAGCAGCTTGACGGTTTGCTCCCAGAGATTCTGCATTATCCACATGGTCAGCTGAGTTATCCCACTACATAAACAACTTACTGTCACGCCTGCACTTATCACAGAGTTCCAGATTTGCTTTTTCTTCCAGTGGTGCATTCAGAAAGCACTGTGTACCAAATATCCCACAGGTCAAGCACTGAGGACGAGACTGACAGGTTCAGCAGTAATTAAACTACTTTTGTACTCACCTCATAGTAGGTAATATCCTTCTTGTCCGAATCCTTGGGGTTGGTGCTGACCTGCTCAATCTTTCGACATTTTGGGCAGGTCTCAAGCTGGAGACAATCTTTCACAAAAGACTTATGACAATCACGACAGGTGTAGGGCATTGTTTCAAGCCTTTCAGTGTTCGTTTGATATTATGCTTTATGTAAGTATACTTGAAAGTGGAATGTAATTGAGTGAGAAGTAAACTGCAAACTTTGCATCTCATTGGTGGGTTTATGTTCATCGGAGTTTGCATATGTGGCAGATTCAAGTGGTTTGAATCTCCAGCCATAGCTGGTGCAACGGTTCACGTGCACCAACTTCCACCTCCCTGAAGAGAAACCAAGCAGCTTCCCAATTAGTTGGAGGATATACAAGTCCTGACCGTTCTACAATACCCATGCAGATATTGTGGACCTCCTCAGACACCCATGCCAGTTGGGCTCGAGCTCTGACCTGGGCCTGGAAATCTTCAATGACACTGATTTCAGGGAAGTTCTGTAAGCAGTTTCTCCCTCCCCATCGTGTTGGGTTGAAGTATATCTCATTCCGTGATGCACCAGAAGGATTTGCCTTCTCCTTTTGATATTGCACGGGATAAGAGTTGAAGACTTTAGCAAAATCGTCTAGGCACTGCTGGACTACCGGTGGAACAATCCAATTGACCAGTGTCCTGTTGTCTATCAGTAATTTGCAAGAAGGAAGTTGAAACTCACTGATGCACCGGATCACCGTCATGAATCAGACCAGAACCATAGGCTGAGTGAAGAGCAGCCTTGACTTGATCAACCACATTCTCACGAACATTTCGCCAAGATCGTTCAATGGTAATATTGTGAGTGCTCTTTAGCAACTTGTATGGAAACACGTCTTCAAGTGAGATGGATGAGTATGTCGTTCTAAGCTGTCAGGTCTGTGTTGTCATATGAACATAATTGAGAGACGTACCGAAATGCTATTTGTGTGGCAATCACCTCTCCAATCTCTGAACCACGATCACTTGCAATTTGTAAGGGAAATCCTGCTGTGAGTGAGGAGGTCAATGACCTGAGATCAAAAGCAACGTACCTGCAGCCTTCAAGACGGTATTGACGAAGATGCAATGCACATCTTCACTCCTTCGATTGGATGGCATTGCTTGGAGAGCCAGAAGGCGTCCTGAGTACACATCCCTGATTCCATAAATCCCAATCCCATATGATGACAGCTTGTCATGGCCATCAATAGACCATTGTTCGTTTGGACCAACAGAGATGATGGGAAAACGAGGAACTTTCTTGTGGCCCGGACGTCGTGACTGTAGACCCTCCGGGGCATATTCTTTCATTGCTTTATAAACAAGGTCACTATTTTGTTACAGCTAACCTTTAAGAGACATAGATGATTGACCTACCGGGGAATGAGGAATCCTCGAAGTGCCAGGCGATGTTTCATTGCTCGTTTGCCAATAACCTGATTGAGATCCTCCTCCAGCTCTTCCTGCATCACCTGAGCAACATCCTGAGTTGACAGGGTGCTTTTGCGAGAAGTACCAAGCCCAAAGAACTTGGTGGCACGGAAGAAGCTTGCTCGTGACCTAGAATCAGCACTGGAACCAGAGACTGAGTGGAGAAGTACCCAAAATTGCTGCCATGCTCCTGTCTCAGTCGTTCATTTATTGCCTGCCAACTTGTCATTCCTTCAGAATAATACTTCTCCATAGCACTGCGGAGATCCTCTGAGTATTCAGCTGGTAGACATTAGTCTCCCAAGTTACTTTCAACATGTGTCACTCACGTGAAGCTAGCTTGCCGTTCTTGCCAGTAGGGTTTGGAATGCGGACCTGATCGAGTAGAGGAAGAAGAGTAATCATGTTCCCTGGGAAGGATTCATCAAGCTCGTCGCTTGTTTCATCAGGAAGTAGAGGTGTCACGAACTACGTCGCGACACCTCGATTACTCCACCAACAATGACCCTCCTTTGGCCATCAAAACCCCATCACGCCTTAACCTCTTTACTCTACACGTAACTCAGGACTTCTGACACCAAGTACGGCGAGGTTAGACGCAATGACCCTCCTTTGGCCATCAAAACCCCATCACGCCTTAACCTCTTTACTCTACACGTAACTCAGGACTTCTGACACCAAGTACGGCGATGTTAGGCGGAGTTAGTCTAAGTAGGGACAATGGGAGCAGAAGTACGGCGAAGTTAGACGGAGGTAGGCTAAGTAGGGACAATGGGAGCAGAAGTGCGGCGATGTTAGGCGGAGTTAGTCGAAGGAGGAAGAGGATGGCCGAGGGCTCGGGGAAGTTGGACGAAGTGCGTTGAAGTACGTCAAAGCGCGAGAGGGTTGGATGAACGTCTAGGAGGAGTAGATAATATTAGCTGAGAAGATCGCTGAAGTTCTTCAGCGATCCTTGATTGTTGTCAGTAGTAAAAGACAAATAGAGATAGCTATAAATCGAGATACATCGCCATCAATAGAACAAAGCCTTAGTTAGAGTAACTACGCCGAAGTACGCCGTAGTTACACTCCTTTCGACGTCTGCGCCCTCCTGGTTGGGTGAGACATCGACTCAGAAGCGTGAAGTTAGCCGAGGTTCGTCGACCGTCGGTCTATAAGGAAGAAGTTGCTCGACGGCCGTGACAGTATCAAGGATCGCTCTTACCGACGACCCGTGCGAACCTTGGAGAAGTACAAAGATAATATGGAACCAGAAAGAAGAATTACACGAGGGATGAGTAGGGATGGAGACAGGATGGAGGAGAACGAGAGGAGAGCATTGGAGGAGCTTAGCAGAGCAATGGGGCAGGACCTTGGAGTGGAGGATAGTGTGGGGGGATCAATTCAAGGAGATGAGTTCGTTCCACCGGTGCCTTCTAACCCTCCTTCTCCTCCGTCTAATGCTCTCCCACCTGCGGGATCCCCACTTGGATCAGACCAAACCCCACGCCCAAGAGAAAACACTGGAAGTACGGCGAACTTGGGAGAAGAAGGAACACAAGGAGTGGTGTTGGCCTTGATGCAGATGGTGGCGAATATGAACAAAGACATGATGGAGGAGAGAAGGCGTAGGGAGGAATGGGAACAGAGAAGAGAAAGGGATACAGTGGGCGGGATTGCAGAAGGGATATCAGAAGGAGTGAGGTACGCCATGGGACGGCAAACTTCGGCGACCCCAAGCGTAGTGGGCGAACAACGGAAGGGGATAAAGCTACCTAACCCAGACCTCTGGAGAGGAGATCGGAAC